CAGTTTTCGAAGCAGTAGATGTATTGGAATCCGGTTCGCTTTTCCCAGATGCCTTTTTCACTTTCCAGATGATTTTTATATAAGAGCTAGTAGAGGTTGCTGTACGAAGGATGATAATATTAGTTGAGATAAATGGAGTTCGAATCATGAGCGGTGGTTGAACGGGAGCGGCTGCATACGGTGTGTCTGCCCATTGAAGGAAATTGAAATTCTGTAATGCATTTTCATTGGAATAATCAGATTCTAGAGTTCTTTTTATTGATTAGCGTATTTTCTATCAGAGCGTCGTTGCTTGCTGTATTCATAATAGTTATGCCACGTAACATCCCATGGCAAGGGAAACATTGGGGGTGTAAGCAGGACGTGTGACTGAAGAGAAACCAGGCGACTAGCTACTCACTGGCAGTTGAGTGCGCAGGTCAGGCCGCTTATGTTCTTCTCCCCTCCCTCATCCACACCTCCAACGTCACTCGTATCTTCGAATGAAAGTAGACGGTTCATCTATTCGCTTGTGGTGGGTTCAGTTTGAAGATCCTCAGCAAAAGCTAGGGGAATGTATCTTTCCGGCCACCATAAGATGTAGTTAGCGAATCATTTTTAAAACAATGACACCAACAAGATTTTAGCGATATTTATCGCTATTATCCCCAATCTCCTTACAAATTAAGAGCTCTAATGTAGTATATTGTAGCTGGCAAGCAGTACCCTACCGCTTGGACGGTGCTGCAGCCGCGATCACAGCTCACCCAAGTGATTGTAGCTGTGGGAACGACATTTTACTCGGGATGCCAAGGTGAACAGCTGAGCACAGTGGTGAGCGATGACTGCAGTTAGATTACAGATTCTCGTGAATTTAGCTCATTGCTAGCATTTGTTCAGGAAACACCGTTTGCGGAATCTGATGGGCAATATGCCCGAATGGCAGTGAGTGCAGATCACTCCATGATCGCACTGTATCATTCCTCTAGAATCATTCAAGTATGTGTTATGTATGTGCTGCTTATAACCCATTTAATCCATGAAATAGATATGTGTTTTTAAGGTTGTAACAGTGGATTTATCGCGACAGATATCTCGTATCAGTGTTCCGGCTGAAGAGTCAATTTTCCGCTTCGGTTGGGTTGGACAGGACGCGCTTTTCCTTCAGCGAACTCCTCTTTTTGTCCAATTCTTCAGTGTTCTTGACGAAAATGCTCATTACGAGTAAGTTGAACTACCATCAATTTACACAAGCGAGGAATGCCCTGATTAAACCCTTACCTTTTTAGAAATTTTTGGATAATGTCTTTTTTTCTGTTTCTTCTGTTAGGAGTTTTCGAAGGTTAGGCAAATGAACAGTGATCTTAATCTGTTCTTTGGCAAGCTTTTCTGCTTCTTTTTGTGGCACTATTTCGCTTCGGGCAATCTGCCGCCTACAGACTTCCTGTCCTTAGTGAAATAATACAATTTGAAGCTTTAGCAATGCGATATACAGACTCTTTTAGCGATGGAGCATTCGCACAGAAGTGCATCGCTAGCGATCCATCGCTGGTAGGGACCTAGATTTACACACAACCACAAAAATTTCGGCGACCACCAGCTCGTAAACGCTCGGCGTGATAAGTGACCTGCGCCTTTTGCAGGGAGTGCGACGACGCGACCATTTACGAGCTGTGGCGAGAGTTGTCGTTGGATCGCATGTAAATCTCCCTCGCTCGCAGCGATGAGCCTTCAAGCATCCGCGCTCGCAGCTAGGTATCTCAACGATCCGCGCTCTTTGCAATTGGCACAATTCGCTCCAATCGCAAAGCTGCTTTAGCAATATAGTGTTCTGCACCTTTTCCACTTTTTTTACCACTTTATATTGGTTTAGTTTGCAAACGAAGTTCACGGAAATTAGTGTGGAGTCAGACGGAATCAAGCTCTACACAAGCAGGCATGAGTTTGTCAGCATTTCACGTGAGTAATTTTTTTTTTTTTTTTTTTTTTTTTTTTTTATTTTTTTTTTTTTTTGACAATTCACGCTACATTAAACGGACGGGCTAGAGAATTGAATAGCTTTTCATATCGACATGCGCATTATTGTGAAGAGTGTCCCCTGCTTGTTCACCTGCAGTGGTCGTAGATAGATGCGAGTGATTCCCTCCCTCCCTAGTTTGATAAGAGAAGCGGAAACCTGCCCTTGTGCTCATGTATACTTACGGGTTGGTTTGGTACGGTGTCTTAATTCGATTTCGGCGGTCTTTTAGCTTCTTTTTATAACGCTGAAGAATTGGACGTGGCGTGAAATGTGGTCTAACGGTATGCCGGGATGTTCCTTAAGCTGTAGTTATATAATAGTTTAGTTGGATCGATCATTGATCGGACAACCAAGTGTGGGGTAGATATTTATTAACCATGCGACGTAACGGTCCCATCATCGGGCCTCAGATAATTGAACGATCAATCCGTATGTACCTCACGCTCGGCTGTGCGATCGGGCGATCGGTCCAAATTAAATATACCTTCAGCCTTACCTGTGCTTATGATGCCTCATAAGGGTTTCCAACGTTTTCTTTTTGCGGTGTTGCTTCTACAGCGGGCTTACAGGGGATGAACGTGCCGTGCTGGGAGTAGCCTCGGCTTCGGATGGCGCCTTGCTTTACGAATCGGCGCAATGGCTCAACACTAACAAAAGCCATCAGTCTTATGAGTATGCAATGCAGGTTAGATATAGACCTTGCAGCATCATTTTTTCTCCTAAATTTAGCTGAGGGAGCTTCTTTTCAACTTCTCGTTCAGATTCGTGATCTCTCATTGGCTATTGAGCAGTGTATTTCCACGGCTTCTTCAGTTTGGTCTCCAGAACTACAGAAAACCTTATTAAAGGTTTTGTTTTACTGAGTCAACTTCAAATATATTCGTGTATCCATATTCTGTTCTGTTTAGGCGGCTCATTTCGGTATGGCTTTTTCTAATGGCTACGACTCGAACCGGTTTGCTCGGTTCCTTCGGGAGCTCAGAGTACTCAATGAAGTCCATCGTCGACGGATAGGCATGCCAATCACGTATTCGCAGTAAGTTTGGGACCTATATGGTTGTTCTTTTGAACCTGGTCCATCCAGAGTTTCTTTACTTTGCCAATATGTTCGATCTTCTCGACATAGTGGCATAATATAAGAAGGAACTTTGAGAATAGGCAGCCGTCACGTTGTCGGATTTAGGTTGGCCAAATATGGTCTCTCCCGCTTGATGAAGGGGGCAAGATTATTGCGTAGTTTCGTTTTCTACTGATGAGGAAGCAGTAGGGGTTTTTGTTAGAGAGCCTGAACCCTTTATTTATAGCGCGTTTTCAGGTTTCAAGAGCTGGGAGAGTCTTGTCTAATCAATCGTCTAATCGATATTGGTGCATATGGCTTGGCAGCCGAAATATGTTCATGGCTCAAAAGAGACCAGCAAGAAGGAATTGACCGCGTCTTGCTTGAATGGGTTAGCTGCAAGTTGAGATGAAACTAATAATATTTCTCTATTCTTAATATTCTTCAACGAAAAATGATTTGAGGTACGACGGACAATCAATAAAGCGGCATCCTCATCGAATCCATCTGAATTGAATATGCAGGCGCTGGATGAGAAAATTGCCAAGAAACTGATGAGTTACCCTCATGTTTCGCTAGCCGGTGGGTGCTTTTTTTCCGAATGAATAGTCGCTGATTCAACTCGGTTTCTTCCACAAAAATTTGGCGAATGTCCACCTTCAGATGCAGCAAAGCGAGCAATTGATGCAAAACTACCCAAATTGGCGCGTTTGCTGATCAAGAGAGAGAAGGACGACTCGAAGCAGGTTAGTAACGAGTTGGGCCATTGGTTTCTGTTTCAGAAATACGATTATGTGTTTTCAAACGTTGCAGGTCCAAGTGTTGCTGCAGCTAGGCGACGTTCAAGAGGCTCTGACTCGTGCAGCGGCTGCACAGCGCCCACAGTTGATGCACCAGGTCGTGCGCCATCTAATGAAAGGACAGAAGCGGGCTGAGTACGAGCTGGCCATTCGTAAAATACCTCTCGTGAGTTCTTTCTCCCATCAAGTTTTTTGCTGTATACTAGAAAAGATTCGATAAAGTCATCATTAGCAGAAATTGTGGTAACGATAGACCAGCTGTCTGGAAATTATTGAAATTATTAATTTTCTAAAAGGGATCATTGTAAAACAAGAGCTAGAGTGAGCGTTAACCGTTGCTAGCAGACTCATATGTTTTTGTCTGTTTTGAGTGCTTAATTATTGTATTCAGGCACAATGCTTGTATCAAGACTTGATACGTGATGAAAGCGAACGAGGTTCGAGCAAAATGATGCTCGCGCTACTTGAACAGGCTAGCGACTTTGAGCGTCAAACTATGTTCCATCTTGACGCTCTGGAAAACGAGATTAATGTAAGATATGAAGCTTGCAATTTTTGGAGTTGACCTGAATTCTGAAAGTTAATGTCTCAATAATAAAATGTCAAGAGCTAGTCATAGTTCATCTTGGCGGAATAGTGGGCCATGATGGAGAAAAGTATTCATGTCCTTTACTTGGTTTTATCATTTTGACTTTTTGCTAAATTTCCAGCCGCACGAACGGATAGGAATGTACCTGAGAAGAGCGAAAGAATCTGCCCGTAACATGGGTGATAAAGGAGTGGAGGAGCTGTTGAATGATATAGTAAGATTAACGATTATTTTTAATTGTAAACAAATTTTTTAATTTTCCTACGATTTAGGCCGCATTCGCACCAGGGCAGTCAGAAACGTGGGCAGGCCCAGATGACATCGTGATCCAGCATTGAATTTGACAGTCTGCTCGACTACAAAGAGTCGCTCAGAGTTCAAAACAGTCAAGCACAAGTTAATAACGGACAAAGCCAGTAAGTGATGTGAAACTGACGCTGCTCCGTTTTCCTTAACCCGTCAAAACGCAGTTTGCTGCTTATGTGTCAAGATCAACTGGGACATTACTTGAGATGATAGTGCGAGCGAATCTGAAGAATGGACCCGTCAATCTCTCTAGACTGGGCAACTTCATCTGCGACTGTCTGTCGTTCAATGCTGCATCCTTGCATCCTGCACTTTTCGAAGTTTTACTCGCTCCCTGTTTCCGAATTGTTTTAATTACAGTTGTTTTGTGGAAATGAATTTATTGGTAGATTCTGATTTTGCACGCCATTTGCGGACTAATTCGATGCGAATTGTGACCGTGCTTTTAGAGTTTGGCTTTGGACAATCGAAGGTTTAGCAAAAATGGGTAAAATGGAGCAACTCTTTGACATGGCACAGAAAAAGTCTCCAGTTGGATATGTGGTGAGTACTGGAGCCTATAGATATCTGCAATCGATGCGTACAGTTGGTTCGTAATTTGGATAAGGAGATCTCTAACGTTTTCTTCACAAAATATTAAGCCGCAACGAAAGTAATTGCGGATTCGACCCTCAATTTCAAAAACTCATATTTTTCTTTGAATTGAACTTTATTCCGAATAATAATTCCCACAAGTACCTTACACAGTCCGCCATCGGTCGACAAGGAAACAAATGCCTCTCCTTCAAAATTCGGCAGGCTTCGAGTCGAAGAAGTGCCCATGTCCGCTTTCAACTGTTGAAAGTTGTCGTACTTTTTATCCTTTGAGAAGTGAGCCAGGGAAAGGAGCGGGTGGTAATCCGTAGGTGCAAGATCTGGCGAATATGGAGGATGGGGTAGGACCGTAAATCCAAGTTCCGTCAATGTGTCCGGGTACCATCGTGGTTGTGAGCAGTATTCCTCAGCGTAGGCGGTGGTATTGTCTGGCATCTCGTAATGACGTATTCCCCGAACACTCCACCAAATTGACAGAAGAACCTTCTTGGATGAAGCTCCTGCTTTGGAACAGGAAACCCTTGCAAGAAAACCTCTGCACACCCCGATACCTCTTTTCTTGCAATGCTCTGTCAGCTCATGCGGGATCAATCGACCAAGTTTCTTGACTTTTTCCAGCTTGTGATGAACACGACCTGTGGCCATGTTGAAGCACTGCATCTCCTTTGCCAGCTCCTTGGCGCTTGCATGCGGAAAGTCTTGAAGTAACAGCTCCAAACGTTCGAAATTAACTTTCGTTGGGCGTCCATCTTCGAGGTTGTAGTTTCCTTCGCGGAACCTTCTGAACCAAAGTTGGCAGGTTTTTTCACTTACCACTCCCTCTACTTCCACAGAGCATATTTTGCGGCAGGCTTCGCTCGCTGTGTGTCCCAGACAAAATTCGCAAAGAAGTCAGTGGCGTACATGGGTAGAAACGTATGGCATTTTCCAGGCTCCAAAAGGCGTGCAGGAGGTGAGACTCGAGAATATGAAGGACGTCACCATCCCTATATATGGTTCAAAAATTTCCCTTAGAGGGTATTTGAAAAAATGCTCAAGGACTTTCGTTGCGGCCTAATATTTGACATAAATCATCATCATAAACATCAATCTCTATTGCTCTCATCAGCTACTTTACAGCCCTTCATCAAGGCATGTATCAAGTACAATCGGCGAGAAGAGAGCAAAAAGTACTTTGCGAAGGTGCATGGATATCAGGAGCTCGTGGCTGCTTATCTGGCAATGGGGTGAGTAATGCTTATTAAGGTGTTCCTTCGAATCATTACTTTTTCGCAAGATTATTTGGAAAAATCCGTTTCATTATGGCAATTACGTTTGAGAAGATGCGAATGACGTTATTTTATCTTCAGCAATTTCGTGGCCGCTGCCAAGATGGCGTTTGATCGTCGCGATCGAGACACGTTACAGCAGATATTTATGAAGTCACACTCGGATAAGGAGGCCTACACCAAAGTGGGCCAGCTGGTGAAGTCCTTCTAACGCAAATGTGCAGCAGCGAAGATTTATACATGCGGCCCGCAGGTTGGTGCTTTCGTCTTGCGCTTATACAGTCCCTTATAAATGGAGCATTTGTGGTGGCCTCGCTTTGGCTCATTCGCTTAATTTCTTACTATAGAGAACTAGCACATTTTTCTATTTGCTACCAGTCAGGTAGATCCGCCGTGCAAAACTGGGTGAGAGTTATGGATATTTGGGGCGCTACCTTAGGGAAGCACCACAGTTCCTATACGGTGCGTAGCTTGCAGTAAATAAAAGGATAAAGCATTTGCCGTTGATCAATCCCTTTTTGGGATGCGGCACGCATTCTACTTCCATTTGTACATTCGTAGTGGCGTTTGAATGCGATGTGGCCTATACAATGACTTGCGGGGGCCAGCCGATGTACAAGTCAGTGTTTTTATCCTCCCAGACAAGTCTGGTACCAATTAACCGACCCCGGAGGGATGGAAGGCTTGGTTGGCCCGGACGACGCACGACATGGTAAGCAGTGCCACTTGCCACTACACGACTCCCCCTATAGCCTGCAGTAATTACTCATAAAGCCTGGTTCCACAGTTCTCGCGTTAGTGGCAGCAACACCGTTCTGCTCCAGTCAGGTCGGCTGAACAGTGAAGTCCGCAAATTTCGGCAATATAACAGTTTGGCTAGGCACTTCTTTATGTGCCTTCCGAGATTGATATAACATTCATTCGGTTAAGTATCGATCATTACCGATGGCATCAGAGCCGGTAAAGTAGATCAGATTCGGAAACCAAGGAGCATACCAAGTTCACTGGACATTTCCAAAGGTATTGACCAATCGTACGAAACTGGTGGCTACTGGTCCCTAATCTCAAAGATTTTGGAGCTCAATCACTTCCTTTTTCCGAGGTTCACTTGTTCCTGTGTTGAGTGGAGAAAAACAGGAGTTGGTACAATCAGGAGTTTTACAGGCACTATTTACCCTTTACTGCCCCACTCCTCGAGAACTGAGCCGGATTTTTATCGAAATTGGTCATTGACTGTGAATTTGGCCAGAAACTTGCCTTCGGGGTAATTCGACCCGTAGAACACGAATATCACATTTGTTTACCGCTAGAACGCCTGGCGCTCGCGTCAGAAGCGCCGGCGCCAAAAGGCGCCAGAACATCTCGGATCCCCAAATTCGCTGGAAAGTTGTCCTCAGAGGTATTTTGACCCGTAGAATATGATTATCACATCAGTTTGTTACGAGTGAACCTGTAGCCTGCGCTACGAGCGCCCGCGCAAAACTGTTGTGATAGCGCCGGCGCCTGTGGCGCCAAGCGTTTTCGCTCTAAACCGGTATGATATTCGTGTTCTACGGGTCAAATTACCCCTGAAGGCAAGTTTCTAGCCAAATCCACAGTCATGGACGAATTTCGATCAAAATCCGGCTCAGTTCTTGAGGAGTGGGGCAGTAAAGGGTAAATAGTGCCGTTTTACATTCCATAGGTGATCGGCAAATGTCGGAATTGTGTAGGGTTTGAATGCCTAGAGGTGTAGGTTTGCGATGGAATGCTTTCATTGTGGGTGAAAAAGCAGTCAGCCCTGCTCTTCCTTCGGTCTGATCGAGTAAGTGTGTTTCAAGAAGAGTGGGGAAGGTTTAATATTTGAGAAAATATGTTCACCAGTAAAAAAAAACTAATAAGGGCGAGGTTTTCTACCAGGCAATTCGGGAAATGAACCCGTTGATGCCGACCTCTGCCCCAGTTCTGTATCTCTACAGCAACTAATTGCTCCCATACTAATCTAATGGTGAGATACTCCTACTTCTCTCCCTTGGTTGTCCTGTCGTAAGTCTCGCAGACGAGATACGGTCTTATATGGCTGCATTTATAACTGCAAATGGAGGTAGAATCTTCGGTTTATTTTGAAGGGAATTTGAACGTCGGCTACATCTTGAAATTTTCACGTTTTTACTTTTTTAGGCCATGCTTTGTTTCGTACCGCAAGGTGGAATGAATATGGCGAAATTGGGTCTCATCATAACCGTTTTTTGGAATCGATCGGCAAATAAACGCTTGCTATAAATTACGAAGACGACGAGATAAGCGGCAAGAAATGGCACTTTGAAGATGCTCTTCCGATGATTCATAGCCAAAATGCATGCTCTCGATTTTCTTCTCTCATTCACACCGCTAAGTCGAATTTCCTCCAGGATGAATCAGCTGTTCAGTAAATGTGACCCATTGATGTCAGTATTATAAGATTACTAAGTGTACATATTTCCTTGTTTTATTCCGTAGATCAAATAGCACATGAAGCCGATTTGTTTCATCCTGTTACTGGTTCCAGGCTGAAGTGGGCTTCATCTTCGTCTTGATATCTCTTTTGTGATAGCTTAGAAGCCTTTCCTTTTCATATCGCTTAGATATTGATTGATGATTCATACGAGTTGTTGCATGTTGATAACTATTTATAGTCATTTCACTTTTATTTGTACATGTTTATGATAAATCGAGTAAAAGTTTACCTTTTTGAGTTAGCTGCTGGTTATCAGTTATGTCTCCTTAGTACCTGCATATAAAAAAGAATCTTTCTATTGTGAAAATCTGGTTGCATGCCTGCATTCGCGTCACTGCTCAAGGGTAGGTTGAGCGTTCGGTCCTAAGGGTTCCACTCTCGCATAATTATCTGCTCACATCTCATTTCGAAGACCTGAGGCGATCCTCAGACTCCATCTCCCTCATTTACATCAGCAACTAATGGGCTACTCGAGGCGAAACGGGTTGAAGGATTTTTCATTCTCAAAATTTCTCGGTTGGGAGGGGAAGAGGAAGAGAAAGGGAAGGATGACTGTTTGAAGGCTCAAAAGAGACCAGCAAGAAGGAATTGACCGCGTCTTGCTTGAATGGGTTAGCTGCAAGTTGAGATGAAACTAATAATATTTCTCTGTTTTTGAAATTCTTCAACGAAAAATGATTTGAGGTACGACGGACAATCAACAAAGCGGCATCCTCATCGAATCCATCTGAATTGAAATAGTGCACGGGGCGCTGGATGAGAAAATTGCCAAGAAACTGATGAGTTACCCTCATGTTTCGCTAGCCGGTGGGTACTTTTTTTCCGAATGAATAGTCGCTGATTCAACTCGGTTTCTTCCACAAAAATTTGGCGAATGTCCACCTTCAGATGCAGCAAAGCGAGCAATTGATGCAAAACTACCCAAATTGGCGCGTTTGCTGATCAAGAGAGAGAAGGACGACTCGAAGCAGGTTAGTAACGAGTTGGGCCATTGGTTTCTGTTTCAGAAATACCATTATGTGTTTTCAAACGTTGCAGGTCCAAGTGTTGCTGCAGCTAGGCGACGTTCAAGAGGCTCTGACTCGTGCAGCGGCTGCACAGCGCCCACAGTTGATGCACCAGGTCGTGCGCCCATCTAATGAAAGGACAGAAGCGGGCTGAGTACGAGCTGGCCATTCGTAAAATACCTCTCGTGAGTTCTTTCTCCCATCAAGAACGAGTAACGATAGACCGGCTGTCTGGAAATTATTGAAATTATCAATTGCCAAAGGCATCATTGTAAACAAGAGCTAGAGTGAGCGTTAACGTTGCTAGCAGACTCATTTTTTGTCTGTTTTGAGTGCTTAATTATTGTATTCAGGCACAATGCTTGTATCAAGACTTGATACGTGATGAAAGCGAACGAGGTTCGAGCAAAATGATGCTCGCGCTACTTGAACAGGCTAGCGACTTTGAGCGTCAAACTATGTTCCATCTTGACGCTCTGGAAAATGAGATTAATGTAAGATATGAAGCTTGAAATTTTGGATATGAAGCTTGAAATTCTTGGAGTTGACTTGAATTGAAGTAATGTCTCAAGGAGCAAGCTAATCATTGTTCATCTTGCGGACTAGTGGGCACAGTGATGGAGAAAAAGATTATCATGTCCTTTTCTGGTTTATATCATTTTCAAATTTTTGCTAATTTCCAGCCCGCCGAGCGATTGAATTACCTGAGAAGAGCGAAAGAATCTGCCCGTAACATGGGTGATAAAGGAGTGGAAGAGCTGTTGAATGATATAGTAAGATTAACGATTATTTTAATTGTATACAAATTTTTTAAATTTTCCTACGATTTAGGCCGCATTCGCACCAGGGCAGTCAGAACGTGGACAGGACCAGATGACCATTCGTGATACAGTCATTGAATTTGCAGCTGATCCACAAAAGGTCGCTCAATTCAAACATCAAGCCAAGTTAACGGACAAGCAGTAAGTGAAGTGAAACTTCTGTTATTTTCTTCTGTCATAACGGCAGTTTTGCTCTTCTGCTCAAATCACTGGACATTACTCGGTGAATATAAAGTGAATTGAAAACGGATCAGCAGTTTCAGATGCACCTTTTCATGCGTCGTTTTTCCTACCATGCCAGGTCTCCACATTCTGAATTTTCTGAAATCACTTTCTCTCTGAATCACGCGAGTTGCAGTATTCTCGATTGAACTGGTTCATTAGTAGATTTAGGGCTTGCATATCCATGTGTTAAGTGAAAATGTCACCATGCTTTTCTAGAGTTTGGCTTTGGACAATCGAAGGTTTAGCAAAAATGGTAAAATTTGGAGCAACGCTTCGACAGGCGCAGAAAGAAGTCTCAGTTGGATACGTGGTAAGACTTGGAGTTCCGTTAACCCATCGCGATAAATGTCATGCTTCACGGTGAGGCTGACCGAATATGCTCACTCGGTCACCCCTGGCAGCCACCGGTGGCGATGGCTTTTAGTGGATGTTATGAAAAACAAGGGGGTCTTCGAAAAATTTTCTTCGCTGTGAAGAATCTTCATACCTCATCTATCTAGGCCACCCCTGGGCAGAGGAAATCTCCATCCACTAGAATTTTATTGAAGAAAAAATCTCCTGACTTCAAAATTTCTCTGAAAAAGTTGAAATTTTTTCCGCTGAAACTTCTCCCATGGGAGAAATCGAGGGTCCTAATCACGAATATATAAGATCTGCTACGCCAACACTGCGCCATTGGCGCCAGATGGCGCCCTGGCGGAATTCATCAAATTCGCTGTAAACTTGTATATAGGGGTTATTTTAGGCCCTGATCACGAATATGACATTCGTTTTGGTCGTTGGCGCTATTTAGCACCTGTTTCCTGCTCGCCTGCACCTTCTCACTATTGGATCCAATCAGGACTAACAAGGGGGTCGTTCAGGATGTTGGAAAGCTTTTTCGAAACGGTTTTCTGTATGTTATGGGAGCTCATGCGTAGACTACGAAACCGAGGTCTATTTTCGCTGAGCAGCCCCGCGAAGGCCAAAAAAGGTGAGGAAATGGTCCAAGGTTCAATCCCTCATAATGACAAAATTTTTGCATTTAGAGGTTGGAGCTTCCCAAATCGCCGAAAAGCATCAAATAAAGATAAAGGATAAAGCATTTGCCGTTGATCAATCCCTTTTGGGATGCGGCACGCATTCTACTTCCATTTGTACATTCGTAGTGGCGTTTGAATGCGATGTGGCCTATACAATGACTTGCGGGGGCCAGCCGATGTACAAGTCAGTGTTTTTATCCTCCCAGACAAGTCTGGTACCAATTAACCGACCCCGGAGGGATGGAAGGCTTGGTTGGCCCGGGCGACTCACGACCCAGGATTTGATCCCCGGACCGCTCGCGTGGTGCGCGCCACTTGCCACTACACCACTTCCGCCCAGAATAGTGTTCACTGCTTCATTGATTTATAAAGACCTTACAGCTAACTATTGTCCAAATTTTCACGCGTAAGTGACGAAATAAGGTTGTTGCACCATAGCTCGGCGCCAGATGGCGCCCCGTGCGTAAATTGGCCGTAGCCAATTGGGCGGTAAAGTTTGAAAAAACGAATCTCATATTCGTAATAGGGCCTCAAATAACCCCTATATACAAGTTTACAGCGAATTTGACGAAATTCAGTCAGGGCGCCATCTGGCGCCAAATGGCGCCAATTTGGCGCCAGCGCCAAAAATGGATCCCATATTCGTGATCAGGACCCTTGATAACCTCATAGGAGAAGTTTCAGCGTGAACTACGGATGATATATAGAAAAAAAACTAAAAAAATACAAGATGGATTTCTCCCTGGGACAATGTCAGGCCACTGCGCGCCTGGTCCAAACGGGCAGTCTTGAAAATCCCGTGCGGTCGCGACTGGGTCAAAAATGCGTAATTGGATATGGATTGGTACATGGTTCATAATTTCGCTGAGCAATCAATATCTTAACCTTCACAAAGATCTAGTTTGAAAGTGGTTCCGCCTACTTTACAGCCCTTCATCAAGGCATGTATCAAGTACAATCGGCGAGAGAGAGCAAAAAGTACTTTGCGAAGGTGCATGGATATCAGGAGCTCGTGGCTGCTTATCTGGCAATGGGGTGAGTAAATGCTTATTAAGGTGTTCCTTCGAATCATTACTTTTTCGCAAGATTATTTGGAAAATCCGTTTCATTATGGCAATTACGTTTGAGAAGATGCGAATGACGTTATTTTATCTTCAGCAATTTCGTGGCTGCTGCCAAGATGGCGTTTGATCGTCGCGATCGAGACACGTTACAGCAGATATTTATGAAATCACACTCGGATAAGGAGGCCTACACCAAAGTAGGCCAGCTGGTGAAGTCCTTCTAACGCAATGTGCAGCAGCGAAGATTTATACATGCGGCCCGCAGGTTGCTCTTTCATTTCAGTCCATCAGACACTCGCTTATAAGCGGAGCATTTGAACCGGCTGGCTTTTCGGCTCGGTTCTTCACTGGAATTGCCACGTTAGGAACTAGCACCTGTTTTCTATATGCTACGCTTTCGGGGATTCCACCGGACAGACACTGGGTGGCAGAGTTATGGACATTTAGCAGCTACCTTAGGGAAGCATTGCAGTTCCTATACGATGGGTAGCTTGCAGTAAATGAAAGATGAACATTTGCCGTTGATCAATCCCTTTTTGAGATGCGGCATGTGTTCTGTTATACTTCTACTTGTACGTTCGTAGTGTATGCGATATAGCCTTTACAATGACATCGGTACCTGCGATGCACAAGCGTATTTTCTATCCTCAAGACAGACCTGTTACCAATTGACCAACCCCGGAGGGGTGGGATTCTTGGTTTGCCCGGACCACGCACCACCCAGGATTCGATCTAAGGACCGCGAAGGTAAAAAGCGCCACTGGCCGATGTCAGACTCTGCGATTGGAGCGATCGGTCAAATGCCAATCGCGCGATTCGCGCGACGATCGCGCGATTGACATGAGTCCCATCATGACCAATCGCTCCAATCGCGCGATGGGCGCGATCACTCCCGTTGTGGCAGGCAACGTATCGATCGAGGGGGGCGCGCCAGCTATTGATCGCTCCCTGCCACAACGGGAGTGATCGCGCCCATCGCGCGATTGGAGCGATTGGTCATGATGGGACTCATGTCAATCGCGCGATGGTCGCGCGATTGACATTTGACCGATCGCTCCAATCGCAGAGTCTGACATCGGCCACTGTCAACTTTCC